GAGGGAGGGAGGGAGGGAGGGAGACACCGAGGCCTCACGAAAGCTTGTCGCCCAACCTCCCGCGGCTAGACTGGTGGTACCCGGAGGTGCAGAGTGGGAAGATGCATGTCGAATAATCTGTCAACCCGTGTCATTAAAGCACCTGCAGGTGTGGACGCAGACGGTCCCCGACCCAAGTAAGCTGGCTGTGTTGTTTGCGGTGCATGTTCGTTCACAAGCCCACCAGCTCCCAGAACTTCTTCTTTGCCAAACCAAACAATGCCCTCTTTATGGTTTCAAGATGCGTTCCAAGGCAGGCCAGATGAGGCCGTACCAGCTGCATGTTTGCATGTTTGCCGAAACAAGATCAGTTGGCCTGGGTGGGCGTATTTTCCGAAGCAAGAGGCTGAGTTTGCAGCTCCGGAACGACCGCAACTTGGCGAGCTTCCTGCGACGCCACTGGAGAGTTTGCCTGCGTCGGACCCTCAAAACACCTTCTTGTTGAATCTACAATCGAGAGTCATATAGAGTCGCGTGCTGGCACGCATGCCCCCGAGCGCGCAGAGATTGCGTGTCACCACATGCTTCAATGATTCAACGGCCCCTCTTCCTTGCGGTCCCAAGCCCCGAAGAACCCGAGAGCAGTGGCCGATTTTTGTCGAGTGTGGGTCCGACTTGATGCTGACATGGCTGAAGGCTATCTGAACCGACAGAGTCAAGCAGGCCGCAACTGAGCATGTCAGAACCATGCTGAGCCGTTTCATCTTGTTAGAACCTATTGAATATCGCCATGCAGGATTGTCGACGAGAGTTTGCCGGATTTTAGCAGCGCAGGCAAGATGCAGAAGCCTTTAGAAGTCTGTCTCACGGTTTGACTAGTGCTGTATTTTGCGCATGTTCGGCAAGTGTGACGAATGCTCGCCCTGTTGCTACCTTCGAGATGGCTTGTCGCTACGAGTGCAGACGTCATGGTGCTTTACACGGCCCGCCCAACTGCGGCACGTCGCGCAAACAGCAGCAGTGAAAAGCGAGCAAATCCTGAGCACCGCAGACGACTCAGAAGTTCGATTCTCGTGCCCTGCATAGCATTGCCAGGGCCACCACCACCCAAATGTGTCACGGCATTTGCTGCACTGTTCAGGCCATCCGCTCTGGCGCACCTACTGCACATGTCTCGTCGCATCATCCGCAGTCGCCCACCTGCAAAGGCACATCGTACAAGAACTTCCGGCACAAAGCTCCGCCCGCCGCGGTGCGATTGGACAGGCAATGCTTGTCGAACCATGCTGGAATCCCATGGCGAGACGCGCAGACTCAGCATCCATCATCTTCAGGTTGCCAAGAGGCTGGCAGTCCAACTCACACCATCAGACCTCAATGTTTTCCTCCGGGAGGCGCACTCACAGCATTGTCTGCCAAACACCAATTCAGCTGGAACAACACTCGCGCTCGAACCGCATCGTTGCTGAAACTTCAGGTTCAGCTTGGACTGTTGGACAAGGGAGGGCGCTTGCCTCAGCAACTAACAACACTATTCTCGGAGACCGACTAGTGCATCCGTGTAAGGATTTCCAGAAGCAAAAGCACGGCCGGACTCCCAGCGTCTGCAAGTGTTCGTTTCCGCTTAACTTGGCTAAAGCTGTAGTAAATTCACAGGTGCTCTCAGCACGTTCTTGGAAGAAGCATCAGGAAAAAGCAGAAGGCCGACGCCTAAGCAAAGACAAAATTCAGCCTCGACGTATCTTTGCTGGTTCCATGTCACTTCGCCCCGGTCGCTTCAGGCCGCCTTAAGGCTGTTCTTCGTGATGCGCCCGGAAAGACATGGCAGATCATCACTTGAGCGCGCCGAGATATGTCCCGGATTCGTCTCTAAGGCCTGGAAGACAACGAGAAGCCGAATCCAGTCCAGGCTTCGCCCATCACTGGCTTCTTCGCGTGTCACTGTTGCAACTTGTTGTTTAGCACCTCGTGCGGATAGTCCCGCAAGCTAACGATCTCGCAAGAGTATATCGGACCGAAATTCGTTCGTATTGCTGTCGATGCAGAATGTCACAAGGTCAAAAGCGAGGGAAAGATCTTGACACTTAATATGGTTATCATAGATGCGCATGATCAACTTCCAGACAATGCCTCACGAACCTTTGAGCCTTGATGGGACTTGCCCTGACTTTGGGTGCGAGTCTTCATGGGCACATTCACGGGTTTTCGGCAATCGTTTCAGGTTCCTACCTGGCAGGTGTTGTGGACTTCGATGAGTTCGCGCAGTCCACCGACTACGAAAAGCGGCTTGCAACACGAAAATTTTAGGCAGCGCATGTCTTTGCATCGGAGCACTCTTGAAGCCACCAGATGAGTGCCCTCCCAGTCTTCAAGTCACTTCTCCGACGAGGCGCTGCCTGAAAGAAGTGGTTCAGGTTGCGACGACGGCGAGTGACTGGGAGGTCGTGCTCCCTGTGCTTTTGTAGGAAGTGACCGGTCTTTTTGCTGGAAGGTGGCCTGGCAGTGCATGGACTTGGCTTCACTGCCAGACGAGGAAGTTGGCTGAATCTGCCGACAAGTACGCACATGCCGCCCGAAGCCAGGAGCAGAACGATGCCACCCTACTTCTTGACTTCAGCTCAGTGGCTCGTGTTTTGAGTGAGTGCCTTACTGCTTGCCTGCAAGGCCATCACCTTGCTGACAGCCGCTGTGCAGAATGGCAGCACTGACATGATTGCGATTGCCACACGAATTAGGCGGAAAGGTGGAGCTTCTATTTCTTGTCAAGAGGTGAGGGCCAGCACACGCGAGCCCTAGCAGACTTTGTGAGGCGTTGCCCTGAGCCGACACGCAAACACCACAACGTGTAGCTTATCGACAAGACTGCTTGGGTGTGGTGGAGGAGTCACAAAATCAAGCTCCGCATCCTGGAATCTGCTGCTGCTCACTTAGTGTCGGGCGTGGGACCATGTCTCAAGAGCTGGCTGAAAGCGTCTCTTGCTTTCAGGTTCTTGAGGCGGCCACTACCTCAGTATCGCAGAGAGCGCAGATTCCATGAACGGGCTGTGAACCGCTTGTGTCAGGTCGGAAGGATTCCAGTGGACGTTCCACTGCCTCCCCGGCTCCCGCAGGCTGGACAGGAAAGGAGCGCGATACATGAGAACACTTGTTGAACAACAGGTCCTTGCCAGCTTGCTGGCCTACCTGTACCCTGCGCCAATTCGGACAACAGGCGCGATTGTGCCATGTCGCAGCTGCAAAAAAGCAGTGTGGCTACCGATATTCCTTCAGGCTATGGTTGGTTTCGGCCGGGTTGGCAGAGAACCTGGACTGTGTCGCAACATCATCTAGATCACAAAGATGCAGCGAGCTACAGGAAGTTCAATGATTGGATGATCTCTGTGGAAAAAGTCTTGGGCAGCTTGAAGGACGCCCTCCTAAAGACCAACGCAGAAAACAAGGGCAGAAGGTTTGAACGGGCTGGTCAGGAGATGGAAGCTCTGGCACTTCTCGATGAGACATCGGCGCTGGTGAAGGCACTCTGCTCGGATACAGGCTGACGGTGCGGCGCTCCGAAGCTTGGAAGGCTTCGGATTCCTTGAGCAACAAAGAGTCAGGACCTTACGAAGCAGGAGTCGGTGCACTGCGTGTGCATGAACTTGAATCCCTGCAGAATCCATATTCTCGTCGATGCGATGCTCGAATTCAGGCTCGAGGACTTCTTGGAGAAAGCCAAGCTCGAGTTCCGGGCTTGAGTGAGATCTGCCACTGTGGCCTCATAGACGTAATCTGGCTGCGACCACGGTTCAGGTGTGCCCCCATGCCAGGAACGCAGATTGTCAGCGCGGAATCGCCACCCTGAGGCTGGCAACTTCTCGGCATTTGCAGTTCGTCATATGTCAGTCGAACATCCATGATATGCTTCTGCTGGTGATTCTAACCAGACGCTTAGATGCCACTGTCTACCCATAGAAGCGCCAGTTGCTCGCAGCACGTTGGCTCTCAAAAACGCACCTACTGTGGCTACCTAAACAGGTCCGCCCAATATGTTTTGTGGTGCCTGCTGCACCGGCGAGTCCGAGCTCGTCGTGCAGAGCGACAGCTCAAAAGTGCCAATGACACCCATGGTAGCAGCAATGTCTTCGGGACCAGGTCCGGCCCAAAGTCGTGAGATTTCTGATTGCGCTTGTGACATCATGTGACACGATGGAGCTGAGGTGACGAACGCTTCGTGCTTACGCTGCCGGGCGTGTCCGCTCTCAAGTCTTTGGACCTGGACCTGTCTGACAACAAGTGCGTGATCTTCGCTTCATGTGACGGTGCAGCAGCCGAGTGGAATAAGCAGAGCTTGGTGCAGGTGTTTCCTTATGACCGAGTCATCGAGATCAATGGCCAGCCCTGCTTAGCTACTGATCTTGTAGAAAAGAGCAAGTCGGAGGATGTGGGCACCGTGAACCTGACGGTCGAGCGGCCACAGAAGCGCCTCCTCTACTTGCAGAAACCGGGGAGGCTAGGCATGGATTTGACGTACACCAAAACGCGAAAGGGCTCAGTCAAGCCGTGGATTACCAACATTTCCGACGGCCTCGTGAATCAATGGAATGTCAACATGCCAGAGCTTTCCGTTGGGGCACATGATCGCATCATCACAGTGAACGGAAGTGGTGGAACTCCTGCCGACCTGGTACAGCTCCTCAGCTCCGCAGATGACACCATGCACTTGGAAGTTCTGCACTACAACATCTGAGTGCAAGAAGGCATTGATTTTCCGTAGATCTTCTGCACGACGACGCGATGCCTCAGGCATTGTCTGTGGTCTGTTTCACCGCTCCTTCACCACAGAACTCGGAAGCGACAGCTTAGGTAAAAAGATGCACCCAATGGACACTTTGCCTCACTTTGCCCTCTTTCGACCTTCGGTGCCTTGTAGCCCCGGTCCGCAGGACGGCAATGTGGAGAGTGGTCTGACCTCTGTTTCCGTGTCCAGAGCCACAATGTACAGCGCACCTGGGCGAGAAAGAGTTGCTGAAGTAGGTCTGCTGTAAAACCTGGCGCAAGTTTGCATGCCATCTTGATTTCTGGCCCAAGGTTGGCACAAAGTTGTCGACGAAGTGTTAGCCTGGTCACAAATTTCCATAATTACATACACCGCCGGCAATCCTAGGCATGGGTATAGAAGCAGACCTATGCAGTCAACCCCGAGCCCATGACATTTATGTACCTAGACCAGCCCAGTAGCTACAAGGTGGACAGGTGCTGAGCATTTCTGGTGCTTGAACTGCCCATAAGCCATATTGTCGCGATGGCTGCCGAAGAGCAACTCCGTCAGGAGCGTGGGCTGCGGGCTAAAACTCCGACTGCGGATCTTTGTGCATTGCAGCAGCCGGACCAGTCTGAAAGCTCGACTGGCCGTAGAATGCAGAGCCCCAGCTTGTCAACTGCTAAAACGCGCTGGTCTTGAGGAGCTTGAGGCTCAAATAGCAGCGCGGCAGGCTTGAAGGGGTTTCAGATTGCGAAATTGAATGTCCGTGGTTGTCTCGGAAGGAACTCGAAAGTGCATTGCAGAAGGCGGCCGAATACGGTGCATGCCCTTGAGAAGGCCCGAGCTGTTGCCCTCAGCACCATTGCTAGCTGAGGTCAAGACCTGCTAGCACAAGTTCAGGACACTTGTCATGTGGCAGTAGTTCGTAGTGACTGATAGCAGACCTGTGCTCCACGAGGAGCATGAGCGCACCATCCAAGAGTATCGGGAGAAGGTCTTGCACCGGCAGGATACAGGATACGGCCAGCCTCTCAATGCGCACCCTTCAGGAGCGGGCTGTGGAGCCAGACTCGTTCAAGAGTCAGGCCGGTAGCATCCAGCCTTGTCTCATGGAACGGGCAGACATTGTCGGAAGGCACAGCGCCGGCAGTCGGAAGCCTAGACTCCACATGTATCGAGGTCATCTCAGCCGTGTTCGTTGCCCGAGATCCTACGAACAACTCGAATTCAGTGCTTCTCGCCCCTTCCAGAGCGTATGCTGATTATAATCCGGCTTTGACACCGGACATCACACGTGTCTTCCCAAAAACCCTCGAGGGCTGGATTCTCCTTTAGATTTTCCAACCGCGTGGCCACGATACGGGGTGCGGCCAGACACCCCATATCGCCACCCGCCCGTTGGAACCCCACACCCCGTAGCGCTGGACGCCGAAGACTATTATAAAGGCTCTATATGCCGCGCCGTGCCCCATGTCGCGACCCACCTCGTGGAACGCCGCACCCCGTAGCGCCGCGCCGCGCCGCGCCGTAGAATCCCGCACCCGCAGCGGGCCGCACACTCTAATCTTATTCCCGCGCCGCAGCCCCGCACGCACACACACATCGACGGACCCGTTGGACGCCGACAACTCTAAACGCTCTTATTGCCCTGCCCGGTGGAAGCCCCGCCCCACCCGCACCCGACTCTGAACGCTCTTGTCTCATTGCCGCGCCGCAGCCCCTATCGCGACCTGCCCGTGAACGCCATGCCCAGCGTCGCAACTCCGTCGTGGACCCGTTGGACACCGAAGACTCTAAACGCTCTTATTCCCGTGCTGCAGCCTGTATCGCGACCGGGCGGCTCGCGATACGGGGTGCGGCGCGTGCAGGTGGGTTTCCACCGATGGGAGTCGCGATTCGGGCTGCGGCCGACTTCGCGAGACGGAGTGCGGCATGGGCCGGAGCAGGGTTCCATCCATACGATCGAGTGAACTGTAGCGCATTGTATAGCGATCATGTGGTATCGATTCGGTGTGCGGCGTGGCCTACCACCAATGGAGGTCGCGATACTGGGTGCGGCGCGGGGACGGGGCGGGGTGACTTCTGCCCTGCATCTGAGCAGGACCGCTGGGCCGTCCTATTTGCATGGCACTAAGATACCTCTCCCGTAGGCTACAAATGTTCGTGCCACTGCTCGCGGAATTTGCTTTGTGGATGTTTTTTGGGTTTCCCGGTAGCCTTGTGTTGTGGACGTCCCTATAGAAGCACAGTGCTAAAACCTCCCGAGGTCTCAGGTGAATGCAGCTGCAGGGTTCAGTGACGAGGGTTTGCCACCTGACGCAACTTTCCAGATTCCGGTTCCTAGAAAACACGGCGCGAAATTTGTGGTCAAAACGGGCGCCGATGAATTCAACTTGGAATTAGTCGAGCCTGCTCAATCGAAGAACCTGCAAGGTCGACGGCCCGCATGGTGCTCGGATGTGTGGACTGCCTCTACTGCTCGTAGCGGAGCGCGCTTGCAAGGTCGTGCAAGCACGATCTCCTTCCCTCGAACTCATGTTTCCAGTGGGGACGGGGAAGACAGCGTCACTCGCACCGGCAGCATGCCTCGCGGGACTGACTGTGTTGACACGCTCAGTTTCAAAGAAGGCTTCTCGCCGCTTGCGAATGGCAGGTCGAGTCGGCTTCCTGCCAGGCAGTCCTGACAGCGATGATGAGGATTGGGGAAAAGAAGGGCGGGGGGGGGTGCGAGATCAAGAAAAAGCCTATTGACTGTTCGGATGCAGGAGCCGAAAGCAAGGCCAGCCAAAGCCGTGCCGCGACGTGGCCGTGGTGGTCAGACCATGGTGGTCACGTGCTCAGCAATGCTAGGCGGCTTCAAAAGCCTCACGGCTTAGCACGCACGTTGAGCTGCGACAGAGATCGTCGGTGTGAAGGTGGAAGACCTCATGCAGCAAAACCAATCGACAGAGCCTTATCGCCAGTGACGTGCGACTGGCACGACGACCAGACTGTCGCACGCCGGCACCAATAAAACCACCTGACTGCGGCAAAGGCTGGAAGAGGACCTGCGACGGCTGCAGGTAAACTACCAGAAGCTGCAGGAGTGAAGTTAAAGGCCATACACGGCACGATTAGGACCACAGACATGTAGGAGCAAGACGACTCAGAGGAAGACGAAGAGGGTGAAGGCTTGGCGCAACTCTTGAGGTTCGCATGTTAACTGTGATTTCTAAGCCATCATGCAGCCTCAGGATCTGAAAGGAAACCCAAAAGAAAGTCCAGGAAATGCAGTTCGATCAGAGATGTCGTCAGATTCCCACACTTGTTGGACAATATTCTCGACAAGACCTGCTTGCAGTTCGCCAAGGATGAAGTGGTTCCAGACGAAGAAATCTCCGATCCAGATCTACATCAGCAGGCCGATGTCGTTGTCTCAGGTATTATCTTGACACGGTCTCGTCGGAGAAACATAAACATAGTGATCGTACACACTGTGGTGAAAACCTACCCACAGCCCGCAGCTCGACATCTCGTAGTGCGACTAAGGAGATTGAAGAACTGCGGCAAGCTTTGCGCACGGCACAGAGAGAGGCTGCCAAGCAACTGCAGACACTGGAAGACTGACACCCAGATCGGTGTACCCTGCAAACACTGCGAATCTCACCATCCCCCGCCAACTGCTTAACAGCTGAGGCAGAAGTAGAGTCAAAGAAGCAGGAGGTGGAGGAAAGAAGGGCTGCAGAGCAGGCTTACCCGTTTCCGCGTGCAAGTTTTGTAGCCTTAACTTGGTTGCGCCTCAGGTGGCAAAGTCAAGCGCTGCACAAAGCGAAAGCAAGTGCAAGGACCGCCAGAGCTTGAGGACAGTGGAGCTTGGAGACCCTGTAGTGTGAAGGTCCTGCAAGAAAGGCTTCAAGTTATGGCGGAGGAAAATGACAAGACGGCCTACAGCCCCAGCAGTGCTAGGAATGTGGCGGGAAAGCCTTTGCGTGTCACAGGGAAATCGCTGAGCCCAAGGAGAGAGAGTAGCAAGTCGCCAAAGCCAAACAGACTTGGCCTCATTCAGCAATTTTCAGACTTCACCTGGAGGAAACTGCATGTGATGGGAAGCCTCAGCCGCTTTTAGGCGTGACTTGACCTTCCAGCTGGAAGAGCAGGCCTTGAGAAACAAGGCTGCCCGTTGCAGAGGGCTGCAGGCAGCATTGAAGCAAAGACACTCCACTCAGATAAATGCTGTGTGCAAACGGCCCGTTTGGAGGGTCGGCACTCCTGAAGGATTGGAAGGTAGTGCGTTGAAGCAGCCAAGGTATCGAAATATTAAGTTTGCCTGCTATTGTAATTTCCCTGCAACGAGGCCAGGAACCAGCGAAAATGGATGCCCACCGCCTGCGAGGAAGCATTACGCCTCTGACTCGGCCGATGCTGGATGGCATGTGTAACTATCGATTTGTGAACCTGCTCTGCAACCACAAGCTCGTCTACTTTTGCCGAGACAGCGCGGCAGAGCGAGCATCTCTGGCGGATGAGCCCGGGAGACCAAGACCGCAAAGCTGGGACTTGCAGTTCGACAGCGTAGGAGACTTCGTTGCCTTTGCCCAGGTTCCAGAACATGGATGAAGAATCTGAGGTCGTAGACGAGTTGCAACCTCAGACAGGAAACTGCCAGCTTGCTTGAAAAGCTGTTTCATAGACATCAGACACTAGAAGCAAAACCAGCTGAAAATCCACAGAATCATGTTCGTCAGCTCAAGTTCGGCCTGACCAGCTTCCATGAGGGAACAAACCAGTTTCGATTAGTTTGCGCGAAAAGCATTGACCAGATCCAAAGAGATGGAGGATGTGGATGGTGAAGAAGGCACCATGTCCTGCCAAGTGTGCATGTTGTCGGTTTCGGGGCAGAGTGCCCGGTTGCGCATCGAGAGGAGACGCAGAGGAAGATGCGCAGGGCAAGGCAACCCGACGCAGTCATCATCGCCAGATACTGTAGCCAGGATGATCTGCGCTTTAGACTTAACAACAGAGCCTAGCAGGTCTTGGAAGGGAATCCAGAGCTTATTCCCTTTCTTTCCCTTGTACATGTAATTCGAGACATCAAGCATATTTTCTTGTGGTCCCATACCCGTGTGTTGTCCTCGTGTCCGTAAGCTGCACTGGGACATCCCGCCAAACTGAGTTCGGGATCCCAAAAGGCAAGGTCCATGTACAGGGAGGCTGCGAGTGCTTTCTCAGCTGTCTTATCTTTTGTTTGGTATTAGTAAGCATCAGTAGCTCGGTCTCAGGTGCTCCGGCATTCGAATTGTAATTTTCGCCGGTGGGAAAGGCCGCAAGGACTCATTCTGCGCCTGCAGGTCGACGCGATCGAAGTAGAAAGCCTGAGAGAAGAGCTCGCAGCAGCGAAGGCCGTGCATGCCGTGCCCTCTTCGCTTGTCTCCTGGAGTGTAGCAGCAATGTAGCAGGCATTCGCACTGCGCAAGGCTTCTCCCAAGCTGGAGCATTCCCAACCGCTGTGCCAGGCCGACGCTGAATCTTCCAAGGAGGTTGCCGCTCTTCTCCAGCAACAATCCGAGGAAGCCAAGGCATGGGCAAGTGCAGAAGGGCAGCCAATCTCTTGCCCGATGCGCCAGCGAGACCCTTCAATTTGTTGTGGCTCGCGCGTGTCGTTCGCACAAGCTGCACACGACTGCCGGTTCCTGACCACTTTCACCGACGAACAGGTACCAACAGTTGGGGCGTCCCCCCTCTATGGGTGAAAAAGAGCTTGTCCTGGAGATACACAGTTTACACACAGTGTTCTTGAGTAGTTTTTTTGTGTTCTCACGAGTGGTCCAGTTTTTTTAATGAAGCCTAGCCCCAGGCAGGATGTCGCGACCTCTCGAGTCTTCTGCCCCATAACCGTAACCATAACAGCACGCTGAGAAGTCTTGACCTTCTGGCCTCTAAACTCTAAGCAGAGTCGCCTTTGGTTATGTCTCACACGACAGCGAAGGCTGTTACATTTGTACAATATTGTGTTGTATGTATATGTATACACATACATATACATACATACACATCCGCACACCGTACACCTTTTCTGGAAGTGTCTGCATGCATGTACATGTAATTGTTCATGTAGTCTTCTGTTCGCTCACACAACACCTCACACAACGCGAGACAGATATGCAGAATGTTGGGTGAAACCAAAGACGTTTTCAGTCTCTCTCTTTAACTCTGGGCATGGCGGTGAAGTCAAGGCTATGCCGTACGATGATGTGCCACTTCTTGGGGCTGGCAGGATGCAGCGGCCAAGCAGATAAAAGGCCTGGAAGAGCAGCTCGCCGCAGCGAAGGCAGTGCTGGGGACTTGTGGTGCGGCCTACTCTCGCTCGTTTTTGCGGGCAGGGTCGAATCATCCGAGAAGGGAGTCCATATTGCCTTGTACATGAGACAAAGGGTCTCGGGAGTGGCTAACACGTCAACCTACATGACCGTACGTCACAATAAGTGATCCTCTCAAATCATCATGCGATCACAGAGCTGTGACATCTTGGTTCCTGCATTTCCTGCTGCATCCCGCTGAATTGGGGAGACTTCGAGGGTCTCGACACAGCGCTACCCAAAACTACCCTAACATGGGAGTTTGGTCTTCTGCGACCGAGCACCGCTCGGCTGGAGCCATGCGCATGGTCGCTTGCCTCGTGGTAGATCCATACCTGTGCAGATCGAGCCACCTTTGCGGAGGCCGATGTTGACTCTTCCAAGCAGGCTGCCGAACATCGTCAGCAACAAGCCGAAGATGCGGAGGCACCGCATGTCAGTCGGGAGCCGCTGGGGCGGCTCCAGCTGTAGACCGAACCTGCATGCCGTAAGCATCAAGCGATCAACCCCGTACAACTGTCTAGATCCGTGCAGGAGTGCTAGGTTGTTGTTCACTCACAGGTGGCAGCATCCCGACTGACGCACTGCCTACAACAAGAGCTCGCAGCAGCGAAGGCAAGCTGCAAAAGCCTTGCTGCGTTGCGTGGTTTCTGATGGAGCCTGCGCTCGGACTCGTTCGTGACTTCGGCACCTCTTCGCAACAAACAGCATGCCGACCATAACAGGCAGGAAGGGATTCAGGTGTAGTCGGTTTAGTGCTGTGTAGACTTCTTAAAGCAGGATTTGGCAGCGACCAGAAGCCTAAAACCGACCTCTTGAATTTTTCAGCTTGCCGAATGCTGGACAGCGGCTTCGCAGACGTGCAGGTGGCCCTTGCACAAGTCGAAGCAACCAAGGCCGCCCACGAAGTTGGTCGCACTGAAGCACAGCAAGCCCATGGCCCATGCAAGCCCTTTGTCGGAGGCTGACAGCTCCAGGGAGGCTCTCCAAACGGCCAACGCGGCCAAGGCAAAGAGCATCGGAGCATCACTTCGGCCGAGTTTTGCCGTGCACTTGCCCAGGATGTGCAGGCCACGGCTGCCCGGGACATCAGAGCTGCAGCGACCGAACTTTCAGAGCTGCGCATGCACGTGGAAGCCTTCGAGGCCGCGGAACGTAGGATCACAGAGGCATGCTGCGGCGTTTGGGCTCCATTCATTTCGGGAAGGCAAGCCAGAAGCAGGAGGCTGAATCTCAGAGGAAACAGCTGGTGGAGTTGAAGGAGAGCCGTTAGTTTCAGAACAGTTTTAAATTCACGCTGCTACTTGCTTATTCGGTTTTGCATTTGTGATGTGTCTCACACGCTTATGTTGATGACAGGCAGTGCATTCGCGCGTCTGCTACACAAATATGAACACAACGTACACACCGGCCCGAGGGACCAGCATTGACCAGGATGGCAGATGACCCGCGAAATCACGAAAGCTCGCCTACTACTACTACTACTACTGCTACTACTACTACTACTACGACGACGACGACGACGACCACAACAACGACGACGACGACGACGATGACGACTGCTACTGCTACTGCTACTGCTACCGCTACCGCTACCGCTACCGCTACCGCTACCGCTACTGCTACGACGATTACTAGGACTGTACTCCCGCGGATAAAAGCCCACTGCCTTGTCCGGGCGACATCTACCGGATATAAGAGCCGCCGAGCTTTCGTTCTCCATGCTTCCGGCCCTCAAGTTAAGCAGAACGCAGGCCAGCGTGTAGTTTGTGTAATAACTACTGCTGACCCCGGCTCCAAGTTCTTCGGATGCGATGCATAGTTACAACAGTTGACCAGTGCAGTCCGGAAGACCACAGGCTCCAAAACAGAGCCCATCCTGTGTCAGAGTGCAAGGGCAGACCAGATCGCCAAGCCAACATGCATGGGAGCGTTTGCCAGAGGAGCTCGAAGCAGCCAAGCAGAAGGCAAGCCGCATTGCCTCAGCATGCTCATGTGGACTGGAGCAGCTTCAGGATATCGAGAAGCAGCTGCAGTCAGCAAAGGCAATGCCGAGCTTTCACGGCACACGTGTGACCTCGCTTCTCGCAGCAACGCCTTCCTCGCAGGACCGAGCAGAAATAGCTCGGCACTCGGAGCCCTCATACGATGTCGTCCTATAGCCTCCTCCTCCTCCTACCACTGCAAGGTCATGGCAGAGAATGCCACACTCAGGCGAGAGGTCAATGCCCTTCGGGAGGCGTCCTCGCATGTTCCGATGAAGCTGCGCCTGATTTGTGGCGCATCCTCGCTCCGAGTTGCAGGCTCGAGATGCGCCTGCTCCGCAACACAGGCGCGGCGCAGCAGCACACTCCACGTTTATGGGGAGGGAACGAAGGAAGGGGAAGAGAGTGTGTGGGAGAAGGATATTGCCCTGCGCGGGACCCCGCGTGCGACTTCAGTCGCGTGTACACACACACAAGAGTATTTGAAGCGCAGGGCGCACGAACCAAGAATATCTAGCATAACTCGTTGCACCCACTGCATCTTACACAGACGAGACTCGACGCACCATCAGCCAGTGCAAGGAAGAAGAAGGGTGCAACTGGTGACACTCGTTCCAGTTCCAAGCAATGCAATCAAACTCATGGCGCAGACAAGCCGATCCAAGAGACAATGAATAAGTGAGGTTGG